GAGCACCAACCCCCCAAAGTGAAAACCCCCCCAAAAAAAAAAAAAAAAAAAAAGAAAGAAAAGAAAAGAAAAACAAGCTCTTTGGATCTGGCAGGTGGCGTGGTGGTTAAAGGCACTGGACTCCCACATGGCCGACCATGGTTCAAGACCCGGACCTGACAGCTTGCTTCCTTGCTTTCCCTTTCTCTCTTGCTCTGTTTCTGATCAAGTTAAAAAAATAATAACAGCAAGTGAAGTTAAAAAAGTAAATATTTTTAAAAAAATAAAAACAAGCTCCTCAAGTAAGAGATTGTGTTGAAAAGCAAGTTGGCATAACTCAGTCTAGAAATGGAAGAGAAGGATAAAAATATTACAGGGAAAAGCTTTTAAAAAATAATAGAAGGGGTCTGACTGAGATCCTAGCCTTAGAGAACACTACACATATACAAAAGATTTTTTAAACTACAAAGGACAAAAATAATTATAGAGACTATGTGAGATTTAGAAGGCAATCGTTAACCAACAGATTCCTAATTCCCGTAAAAGAGAACATAATAGGGCCTGCCTGTGGCATGGCAATAAGGATAGCCAGATCCCACATGGCCAATGGTACAGTTCGAGTCCTGGGCCCAGCTGTTTGGAAAACATGCCAGGTTCATGTGTGTACAAGGTCAACATTTGGAAAGGGAGGAGAAATGGAGGAGAAGGGATTGTGGCATGACCATTCCCCATGAGGGGTGCTTCCTCACTTCCTATCTCTCTCCAGCAAGCTCACACACCCTCTGGCAAAAATTTTTTAAAAAAGAATTTCTATCTATCTATATAATTATAATATTCTTAAGAAAATGCAAATTCTTAATTTTTAAATAATTGGCTCAGGAGAATTATTTTTAAGATAATGTTTTAAGGAAAAGAGCATTTACATAAAGTTAAACAGTTTTTTTCAGATTAATTTGTTTTTTTTCTTACTATTGTTTTAATGTTTACCCAGGACAATATAAGATGTATTCTTGCTTTATGAGATTAATATAAATGAGTGTTTTCCCATGTTCTCATGCATTGTGAGTACCTTAAAAATGTTAACCCCACCTGTTGTCCTTCTAATTTTCACACAGTTGTCATCACATATTTTAATTATGAATATAAAGTATAAATATAAACACTCCAGTGGATTGTTTGTATCACTTTATTCAGTTAATATTCATTTAGACACAACTACACAATTTACGCTTAATTTTCTGTCTGCTGTCACTTTGCTTACGCCTTTAATGCTTTCTTAATATAAGTCTTCTGGAAATAAACTCTCTCAGTTTCTGTTTTTCCGAAATTGCGTTTATTCATTCTCATTTTTGTGTGGGGTGTGTGCATATTGTGTTTTAGACAGGTGCATGCTACCGTGCCGACACTTTAGGAGGGGCCGGGAATTGAACCCAGGCCTCTCGTACGGCTTCAGCCTGCCAAACAGCAGAGTCCAGCACACATTGCCACAGCTGGCCTTTCATCTCCATTTTCGAAAAATGCTTTTTCTGAGTGTAGAATTATAAATTACTATGTTTTCCCTTCACTTAAAAGATACCATTTCTTTCTTTTCTGGCTTTCCTTGTTTCTACTAAGAATTGAACTAAGTTTAATTGTTGCTTATTTAAATGTAATCTTTTTCCCTCTTTCTGGAAGCTTTAAGCTTGTTTTTGTCATTTTTGTTTGTTTTTAAGTTTTTTGCCACAGGGCACCTGTACTTACAGGAGAGAGACAGAGTGAGACAGGAGAGAGAAAATGAGAATCACCCCTGAGGGGAATGGCCATGCCACAATCCCTTCTCCTCCATTCTCCTCCTGGGATTTGGGGCACACGCGCACATGTACCCTGCATGTTTCTCAAGCCACCAAGTCAGGGACTCCAACCGCGATCGGCCAAGTGATAGTCCAGAGCCTTACCCGTCATGCCCCCTGCTGGCCCCAGCTTGCTTTTGTCTTTTTGTTTCAGCTGTCCTTATGATAGGTGCAGGTGTGGTTTTCTTTGCGTAAGAAGAGCTCAGTGGTAGTCTGGAGTAAGGCCGCTGCTGGGACCCGCGTGCCTGGTAACCCCATTACTGACTCTGTGCCTCTACGTCCATTAGCTGCGGTTTTTTCTCTTGGCTTTTACCAGGTCATTTTTGTCTCCTCATAGGCCTTGCTATTTTTATTGTACGACACATTATAAATGAAATATTGTACAGTACCCTGTGGGGACCAGAACCTGTGATGCTGAAGTCCCATATATAAAATGGCATAGTATTTACCTATCGTGTGTGCAACTCCTCTCATATGCTTTCAATCCTCTCCAGATTATTAGAACATTGAATACAATGCCCAACACCACTTCATCTGTATGGATTCCGTGTAGTACTCAGGGCATGGCACATTGCAGCTTTGCTCTTTGGAGTTTTCTGGAAATTTGTTTTCAAATAGTTTTGATCCATGGTCAGTGAATTGTGGATGCAAAACCCATGGGGTGAGAGGCCGAGCATGCAAACGATAGGAGGCTTAGAATGAGGCTACTTTTCTGCAGAGAACTTTCATGCTTGATTTTGGTCGACAACTAAGCACACGGCCATCCCAAACCAATTCAATCAGGTGGCAAACTAACGTGGTTTGAAGCTAGACATCAGCATTCCCAAAGGCCAGCCTGGTTCCTGTTCATCCTGATTCCTAAACCGTTGCCCTTGTTGGTTCCAACTCCAAATGCTGCGTATTTACCAGAGTATCCCCTCTCTCCCCTCCGTCCTTGGAGACACCATCTCATGGAAGTCTGACTTTCTGAGAGGTGCGGAGGACTGTTTTCAGTGAACTCTACCCTTTGACCTTTTTTCTTGCAAAATTTTAGCAAGTCCGTCTGTGAAAAACTCAGCTTCTCGTTCGTTCACTTCTTCTCCTAAGAAGTCGCCAGTGCACTCACTCCTAACGAGTTCGGCCGAAGAGTCCGTCGGTGCTGTCACTTTGCTTACGCCTTTAATGCTTTCTTAATATAAGTCTTCTGGAAATAAACTCTCTCAGTTTCTGTTTTTCCGAAATTGCGTTTATTCATTCTCATTTTTGTGTGGGGTGTGTGCATATTGTGTTTTAGACAGGTGCATGCTACCGTGCCGACCCTTTAGGAGGGGCCGGGAATTGAACCCAGGCCTCTCGTACGGCTTCCGCCTTGCCAACAGCCAGCCTGCCAAACAGCAGAGTCCAGCACACATTGCCACAGCTGGCCTTTCATCTCCATTTTCGAAAAATGCTTTTTCTGAGTGTAGAATTATAAATTACTATGTTTTCCCTTCACTTAAAAGATACCATTTCTTTCTTTTCTGGCTTTCCTTGTTTCTACTAAGAATTGAACTAAGTTTAATTGTTGCTTATTTAAATGTAATCTTTTTCCCTCTTTCTGGAAGCTTTAAGCTTGTTTTTGTCATTTTTGTTTGTTTTTAAGTTTTTTGCCACAGGGCACCTGTACTTACAGGAGAGAGACAGAGTGAGACAGGAGAGAGAAAATGAGAATCACCCCTGAGGGGAATGGCCATGCCACAATCCCTTCTCCTCCATTCTCCTCCTGGGATTTGGGGCACACGCGCACATGTACCCTGCATGTTTCTCAAGCCACCAAGTCAGGGACTCCAACCGCGATCGGCCAAGTGATAGTCCAGAGCCTTACCCGTCATGCCCCCTGCTGGCCCCAGCTTGCTTTTGTCTTTTTGTTTCAGCTGTCCTTATGATAGGTGCAGGTGTGGTTTTCTTTGCGTAAGAAGAGCTCAGTGGTAGTCTGGAGTAAGGCCGCTGCTGGGACCCGCGTGCCTGGTAACCCCATTACTGACTCTGTGCCTCTACGTCCATTAGCTGCGGTTTTTTCTCTTGGCTTTTACCAGGTCATTTTTGTCTCCTCATAGGCCTTGCTATTTTTATTGTACGACACATTATAAATGAAATATTGTACAGTACCCTGTGGGGACCAGAACCTGTGATGCTGAAGTCCCATATATAAAATGGCATAGTATTTACCTATCGTGTGTGCAACTCCTCTCATATGCTTTCAATCCTCTCCAGATTATTAGAACATTGAATACAATGCCCAACACCACTTCATCTGTATGGATTCCGTGTAGTACTCAGGGCATGGCACATTGCAGCTTTGCTCTTTGGAGTTTTCTGGAAATTTGTTTTCAAATAGTTTTGATCCATGGTCAGTGAATTGTGGATGCAAAACCCATGGGGTGAGAGGCCGAGCATGCAAACGATAGGAGGCTTAGAATGAGGCTACTTTTCTGCAGAGAACTTTCATGCTTGATTTTGGTCGACAACTAAGCACACGGCCATCCCAAACCAATTCAATCAGGTGGCAAACTAACGTGGTTTGAAGCTAGACATCAGCATTCCCAAAGGCCAGCCTGGTTCCTGTTCATCCTGATTCCTAAACCGTTGCCCTTGTTGGTTCCAACTCCAAATGCTGCGTATTTACCAGAGTATCCCCTCTCTCCCCTCCGTCCTTGGAGACACCATCTCATGGAAGTCTGACTTTCTGAGAGGTGCGGAGGACTGTTTTCAGTGAACTCTACCCTTTGACCTTTTTTCTTGCAAAATTTTAGCAAGTCCGTCTGTGAAAAACTCAGCTTCTCGTTCGTTCACTTCTTCTCCTAAGAAGTCGCCAGTGCACTCACTCCTAACGAGTTCGGCCGAAGAGTCCGTCGGTTCCGCGTCGCAGTATCGGTCCACCAAACCCGTCCACTCACCTGACTCTGTAAAAGGTAAGAATGACCTGATGTCACCCAGGGCATTGATTGATTTCTTGTCCTGGCGATTTGCCACCTAGTTTCTGTACTCAGAATTAAGAAGGTGTTGCACTACCATTCTTATGTGCAAGTTCCAACTGATGCTGTGTAACTTCAGTGGGTCTTTCCTGAATAGAACAGCTGTTGGGTGTGCCCCTATGCAAGCCTTAGAAAATACAAATAGATATTATATGTAAGTCTTTTCTCTGACTTAAATAATGATTCCCCCACCCCCATTTTATAAGATTTCAGATCTTAAATATGCTGTGAGTGACTTTTTTTCCTTATTTACATTCGTTAAACTCTCCTTCAATTTCTGCTCCCCTCACCCTCCAGCATTTGCCAGAGGGAGACAGAGAGAGAAAGTGAGAAATCATCCCCCAAGGGAGAATGGCCATGCCACAATCCCTTCTCCTCCATTCTCCTCTTGGGATTTTGGGCACACACACACACACACACACACACACACACACACCTCCACATATCTCTGGTGTAATTGTTTCCAAGCCCCCAGGTCCAGGACTCAAACTATTGTTGGCCATGTGGGATCCAGAGCCTTAACTACCATACCACCCGCTGCCCCCCCCCCCCAAGTTTCTGCTTTTTTAAGTGCAAGTAGCTACCATATAAACTTGTCAAAAAAAAACTTTTCTCATTTTTGAAATTTTATGTTCACCTGTTACTTGATAAGACGGATGGGGACATGGTTTTAGAGGAAGTGTCTGGTTAATAAGTGGGTATTAAATGTACATGCTGAGTTGAGCCTGAAACGTCCCTCATCATGTATGACCAGGCCGAGTGGCCCCAAGGCTGCCCACCATCGTCCCCTTCGATTAGGGACAGAGCAGGCCAGTTGTGCATCTTTCTTATTCTTGGTCTTTTGAAATGCTGTGACACACCTCTAGATTCTAAAGAAATTACCTGGCGTACTATATGTTAGTGCATTTTCATTTCTACTGTCTTTTTTCTGCGTTTATGTCCTCTATTGATTTAATATTTTTAAATTTAAAGTATTACATTCACCTATTGGGCAGTGATTGTTTTAGTAGAACAATGCTGCTTGTTACCATATTAAAAAAAAAAATTGCTAGAGGGCATGTGTGCTCACCAGAAACAGATGGAGAGAAAACGAGGGAGAGGAGAAGCCAGAAAGCAGCCCCTGTGGGCGGTGACCGCGCTGCAATCCTGGCTCCTTTATTTCTCCTCTTGGTATTTTGGGTACATGCCCGGGGTGTTTTCGAGCCTCTGGGTCCAGGACTCTTAACTGAGCAGTTGGCTCTGTGGGATCCAGCCTTCCTAACCACCACACCAACAGGCCGACTTCAGGCATTAATTTGTTACATAGTAGCATGGTTTTGTTTTTGGTTTTTTTTTGAAGTTTGCTATAGGACATGTGTGCTCTCTAGAGAGTAAGACAGAGACACTAAAAAATCACCATTCTCCTCTCAGGATTTTGGGCATGCACGCACACGCTCCTTGGCATGTTTCACAAGCTGTCTGGGTGGGGACTCTGGCCACACAGTCAGCCATGCGGGATCCAGCCACCTTAACCTCCATGCCACCTACTGGCCCAGCATAGCATTCTTTCTGTTTGTTTTCCCTTATTGTCAGACACTCAGCAAACATCATATATTTCTATTTTTGTGTTGAAAATTTCTCTAAAAGATCTTCTCAATCCTCTTGATAAGACTTCTTGAATTAACATAATTGCTGCATGACTGTCTTTCATACTTATGTCTGTAATAAAAAGGGTGTTCTTCTGTTAGAAAAATGAGCCACCAAAAATTTTTTTTTCAATTATTTTAGAGAGATTTTTGCTATAGGTCACGTGCTCTCACCTAGAAAGACAAAGAGAGACAGAGAGACAGAAAGCAAGAATTCATCCCCCAGGGGGGATGGCCATACCACAATCCCTTCTCCTCCATTCTCCTCCGGGGATCTTGGGCTTGCATGCACACGTGCCCAGCATGAGTTTTAAACTGCTGGGTCCAGGACTTGCACTGTGGTAGACTTCATGAGAGTCCAGTAACATAACCATTACACTATCTGCTGGTCCCATCATCAAAAATATTTTTTCGGGGGCTAAGATAAACATTTTAATCTTCATATTGCTAGTTCAGTATTTTGAGTGTAACAAAACTTACTATACTTCCTAGAGCATAGTTTACCTGCCTCCAGACCTTCTTCAGTTGCTACTGCCACACAGCCGCTGGGTCCCCACCACTCCCCCCCATACCAGCCTCACTCAGGCGGCAGCTGTTAACATGGGCACCGGCCTCACACTCATTCGCCAGTGTCCCAGTGTCTGCATTAACGCCTGCTCTTCCAGGCTAATGGGAATACCTAGTTCCATATGAAAAGCTGTGGCTTATATTGCAGACTCTATCATTAAGCGCGGTGTATTCTGGCCAGCCCCATTTAATACTATGTAGCTGCGTAATAGTAAATAGATTGTTTGCAACAAAATCATATAAACTATTATTGGAATATTTAGATAAGATACATGTTTTCTTTATTTTAAAATAATGTTTTTAAAGTGCCGTTTATTTTAAAGGAAAAGTTGTTTAACCTGTAAATGGAAGATTTCTAGAAAAGAATAATGAATAGACTTTTAATATCACATCTAAGCAATTTTCTAATAGATTCACAGTCTCCGTCACTAGAAACAACAGGAAAAACATGCAGAAAGCTGCAGAACAGGCTGGAAAGCTTGCAGACTTTGGTGGAAGATTTACAGCTGAAGAACCAAGGTATGGTATGCATTTTGGCGAGATCTTTCTTGCTTAAAAAGAATGTTCCGCTTCCTTTCAGGTTAATCGTCCTATTTATAGATGCACTGAAATTCAGAAACCTCAGTGAAAATAGGAGAATCTGCACATGACTAACCCCTGGGTTACTTGTGTGCACCGGGGGGGTCACAATAGCCCCTCTCTAGTCTGGCTCTGATAGAGACGACAGTCCTGCTGAGCAGCCCCCATTAGACGCAGGCTTTGAGCGGCTCTCACAGTGGACATCCCCAGACATGCGCTTATCCCCGTTAGGTCTGTAGGCAAGCATTTGCGTGATGGCAGTTGGTAGCCAGAAGAGAGAACAATGGTGTTTAGTTGATGTCGCCTTTAAATTATCGTGTGCTATAAGAGACTGTGCTACATGAAGAATCACAAAATAAAATGACGAGCCACTTCTGAAAGTACTAAAGCCGTTTTAATGAGAAACCAATACAAGCTGCAGCTGATGGGCAGCTTTTGGGGCAAACATTCTTTTTGTCTTTTTTTAAAAGAGATTTTTTGCTACAGGGCCTGTCGGCTCGCCACAGAGAGAGACAGAGAGTCAGAAAGTGAGAAACTATCCTCCTGGGGGGTGGCCATGCTGCAATCCAATCTCCTCTTCGGATTTTGGGCACGCATGCACATACACCCTGTGTTTCAAGCCTCTAGATTCGTGACTCGAACTGTGGTAGGCCATGCGGGAGGGCAGTGATGTAACCATTCCGCCATCTGCTGGTCTCTTGGGGCATAACTTCCAAGCACAGTGGATCTGGGAGAGTTACCATATTTCATGCTTTTCTGGCACAACTTCACAAATCTAGGAGCCTTTGATAGAAATTCATTTTGGAGTACACCTGTTATTTATTTGTTAACTTATTTTAATGAGAGGGAAAGATGCAGGTATATTTTTTCGTCATGGTCCTGCCAGGTTGTGATCCTCCTCCTCCAGTGTCCAAGTTAGCTAGGATGACAGGCACACATGACCACACCTGGCCTCTTCAGGTTGATTCAGGATCCAAACCCAGGCCTTCCAATGGGCCCCAGCCTCGTGCATCAGCACCCTACCACGTGCACCAACCACTATGGCTGAGCCTCAGCTGTTACCCAGCTCTCCAGCCCCAGGGAATATAAATTGCTAATGAAGAAAAAAATATATATTTTTTCCAAGAACAGATCTTTTTTTTTTTTTGGAGAGGTTTTTGCTATAGGGCGCGTGCGCTCGCCAGAGAGAGAGACAGAGAGACAGAAAGCGAGAAATCACCCCCCAGGGGGGATGGTCACGCAGCAATCCCTTCTCCTCCATTCTCCTCTCGGGATCTTGGGCACACACGCACACTCGCCCGGCGTGAGTTTTAAGCCACCAGGTCCGGGACTCGAACCACGGTCGACTACGTGGGAGTCCAGCAACATAGCCATTACACTAACTGCTGTTCCCCCAAGAACAGATCTTTATAAAATAGATTTAACCTCTTTAATAATAATAGTTGCTGGGTAAGCAGATGGCATAGTGGTTAAGACACTGGACTCCCACATGGCCAACCGTGGTACGAGTCCCAGACCCGGCAGCTTGAAACTCAGCATGCATGCCCAAAGTCCCAAGAGGAGAATAGAGGAGGAGGGATTGCAGCATGACCACCACCCCTCCCCCAAGGTGATTTCTTGCCTTCTTTCTTCTCTGTCTCTCCCTGTGTCTCTGGCAAGTGCACACGCCCTGGAGCAAAACTCTCTGAAAAGAATAATAATCATTGTGATTAGTGTTTATTGAGCACTTCCCACCTCGTGCCAGGCCCTGTGCTCAGGGAGTTTTCCTCATGGGATCCGCACAACGACGCCGGGAGGTAGCTGCTGTGACTGTGTTATTTGAAACTGAGGAAACCGATGGTAAGAGCACATCACTTAGCCAAACAGCCAACCCTAAGTCATAACATAAGCAGTGGGACTAGGATTTATCCCTGCAATTGTTGACTACAAAATTTGCATACAAGGGACATCAGAAAATTCCATTCCAGGAAAAATGGAATTTAAGCAGTTTATTTTTGTGCAAAAAATTTTTTACAGCATCCCCTCAATGGGGTGTGGTTATATCACAATCCCTTCTTCGTTTCTTCATCTTGAGGAACTTGGGGTACATACCATACACATGTAGACCGGCCATCTTTTGAAGCCAGTAGGGACCATATTTGAACTGTGGTCAACCATGTGCAATACAGCTCTTTTACACACAAGGCTATGGGGCTGGCCCAAGGAAAATACGTTATCTTATTGGCCCTGTTTTTATTCACATGTTGAGTTCTGAGTTTATCTAATTTAAGCCACCTCGTAATAATCCATATGGAAGAAATGCAATGTTTGTTTACAAAATACGAGCTTTTTTATTGGGTGTAATGTCTGGATAGGATATCTCTTTGAAATTCTGAAGCAAATATTTATGTAGAGAATTATGGGGGTGTTATCAAAACTTAAAGTGCATGCCAGCAGGTGGCAAAGAGGTAAAGACAGCTGGATCCCAAATTACTGACTGCAGGATTTGAGTCCCAAACATGGTGATGTGAAAATCATGAGTGTGTGTCCAAGATCCCCAGAAGAGAGTGAAGAAGGGATTGTAGCATGACCATCACCCCAGGGAGGGGGGTGATCTCTCTCTTTCTCTCTGATGAGCGCGCACACCCAATATTAAAACAAAAACTTAAAGTGCACAAATCTTTTGACTCGGAAATTTTACTTCTAGCAATGTATTCTACATGAAATGATTATATAAATGCATGAAGTTGAAGTTTAGCCTACAAAAATATTTATTATAGCATTCTTTATTTAAAAAATAAGGAAGCAGGGGGCTAGCAAGTGGTGTGGTGGCATGGCAGGGCACTGGACTCCCACATGGCTGATCATGGTTCAAGACCCAGACCTGGCTGCTTGCTTTCTCACTTTCTCACTCTGTCTCTCTCTGGTCAAATTTAAAAAATAGTAATAATAAATCAAATTAAGTAAATAATAATTCTTAAAAAAAATAAGGAAGCAATCTTACTTATTTTTTAACATTTTGGTATGCTCATGTAATGAAATACCATGCAATTATGAGTTGAACTAGAAAAGTGTTAACATTTTTGTTTAAGTGAGAAAAGTAAACTCCAGGACAATTTGTACCATGTATTTCTATTTTTGTGAACAAGATTTTTGTACGTGTATGTGTAGATTCTACCAAACCAGGCACAGCAATGACCTCTGAGGGATAGGGAGACTTGAGCGGAGCAAGGGAGCAGAGGAAAAGGCTGACCTTGAATTGTAAGTGAGAAATCACCCCCCAGGGGGGATGGCCATGCCACAGTCCCTTCTCCTCCGTTCTCCTCTCAGGATCTTGGGCATGCACACACACACGCGCCTGGCGTGAGTTTAAGCCACTGGGTCCGGGACTTGAACCGCGGTCGGCTACATGGGAGTCCAGCGACATAGCCATTATGCTAACTGCTGGTGCCTAGTATTATTTTTTAATCTGACCAGAGAGAGAAAGGGAAAGTGAGAAAGCAGGCTGCCAGGTCTGGGACTCAGACTTTAGTCAGCCACGTGGGCATCCAGCACGTTAACCACCATGCCACCCGCTGGCCCCTGTCTGTACTCTTTTAAGTGTTGAATTTTTTACAGTTAGAATGGGTTATCTTTTTTAGAGAGAGATTTTTACTATAGAGTACATGCACTCATCAGAGAGACAGAGACAGAAAGCCAGAAATCACCCTCCAGGGAATGACCACACCACAATCCTTTCTCCTTTCTCCTTCCAGGATCTTGGGCACACATGCCCAGCGTGAGTTTAAGCCACCAGGTTCAGGACTCTAACTGCAGTCAACCATGTGGGAATCCAGAGATATAACCATGATGCCATCTGCTGGTCCCAGTATGTGTTACTTTCATGATTACCATGCTCACTTAAAACAACTGAAGGGTAAAGATTTACAATTAGGTCTGTGTCTCAACTCTAGCCTTTTTCAAAACTCTGCTGATTGGGGGACCAGCAATTAGTGTAATGGCTATGTTGCTGGACTCCCACGTAGCCTACTGCAGTTCGCGTCCCGGACCCGGTGACTTAAAACTCACGCCGGGCGCGTGTGCGTGCGTGCCCAAGAATCCAAGAGGAGAACGGGGGAGAGGGGATTGCAGCGTGGCCATCCCCCCTGGGGGGTGATTTCTCACTTTCTATCTCTCTGTCTCTCTCTCTATCTGGCCAGCGCATGCGCCCTATAGCAAAAACCTCTCTAAAAAAAAAAAAAAAAAACCTCTGCTGATTGCAGTTTCTAAGCTCAGAGTGCACCTTCTATATTAGCAAGTGGGTGTTTTGAAAAATCGCTTAATAGAAGTTAAAGCCCAAATGGATTTCGCTGTTCTAACTTTGTCTTATCAACATTTCCAGCAATGTCTTCAATGATCAGAAATCAGGAAAAGAGGATACAGAAAGTCAAAGACCAGGAAAAAATGTTACTAAAATGACGCACTGCTTGCCTATTCTTGACAAAGGGATGATGCCTAATTAATTGTGGTGTTACTTATAATTAACGCCTTGTGTACGTTTCTCTTTTTATGTGAAAATTTAATAAAAGGTAGCCTGTCCTATAATTCTGTTTTGAAACAAACTACTCTTGAATGTTCTTAGAGTAAAGCTTAAAGCAGCACTAGCTAGATCTGAAGGTATTCACGCATACAGTGTAAGGTATTACTTTGTGCTAATTTCAGTGTATTGGAATATTCTTGGTTTTTTAAATTATTTTTATTGGTCCGGAGACAATAGTTGTTTTGTTTCCTTCAGTTAAATAACGAATATCCAGCAGGGGCATGGGGCTGGTGCAGTCGGAAGCATGGTAATTAAGGCATGGGATCCCACAAGGCTGACTGCACAGTTAGAGTTCCAGACACGGCAGCTTGAAAATCCTGCCGGGCACGTGTGTGTGCCCAGAGTCCTGAGAGAAGAATGCAGGGGCCAGGAATGTGGTGTGGTCATCCCCGCTGGGGGGTGATTTCTCGCTTTCTGTCTCTCTGTCTGTCTTTGTCTTTCCAGTGAGTGCATGCGCCCTATGGCAAAAATCTTTTTTTTTAAATATCCTAAGGGGAAAACTACCTTCACGGCAGTAAAAGATATGGTATAAAGCCAGGCCAGAAGGACAAACTCCAGCCTACCACAGGGACTCCTCTGTGACCCTGAACTCACTGTTCTGTCAATATCAGAAAAGGTAATCAGATAACAACACGTTGAGGCCCCTGGACAAAACTCCTAGAAAAAAGTGTCTCCTTTCACATGTTAATGTCTGTAAAGAAAGGAAGAGCAAACTGAGGCCTTGCACAGTGAGCTGCCTGCTCTGCACACGGCGGTAATGCTGTGCTTTGCCTCATCATAAAAAGAAAAGAAATTCCGTGTTACTCTTTAGCAAGTGGGTAGCACCTAGACTGAATTGATTCAGTGTGCCTTAATTCTTAATAAATATGGGGGCGGGGAGTTCGGATGTGACCAGATAGAATAAGACAAGCAGAGCAGATGCAGAAATGTTGCCATGGTGCCAAAACATCGAGGGCGATGTGGCCAGAGGCTAAGCTGTCCAAATGAACCTGTGCTCCCACCATGCAGAGCTGCCCTGAGACACAGCTGCCCCAGTCCCACCTCCTAGTGCAGCCACCTGACCAGTTCCAACCAATGGAGTGTGGACACAGCAGCGTGTGGCACTTTGAGATCAGCAGTGTTGGTGCACATGCGTGCTTTCCTCACTGTATTTCCCTTTCTACGGGCTGGATGCAGAAGACAGTGGAGGGTCCTAGGAGATAGCAGAGCCACAGGGTAGACAGGAACCTGGGAGATGAGTCTTTACAAAGAGGAGCGTTGCTGTCCTTCCAGAAAGACTCCACTGCTGACTATTGCATGGACAAGAAATAGGTTTCTGGGGACCAGCAGTTAGTGTAATGTCGCTGAACTCCCATGTAGCCGACTGCAGTTCAAGTCCTAGACCCGGTGTCATAAACTCACACCAGACACGTGTGCGTGTGTGCCCAAGATGCTGAGAGGAGAATGGAGGAGAAGGGATTGCAGTGTGGCCATCCCCCCTTGGGGGGTGATTTCTCCCTTTCTATCTCTCTGTCTCTGTCTTTCTGGCGAGCACACACACCCTATAACAAAATCCTCTAAAAAAAAAAAAAAAGGAAAGAAAGAAATAGGCTTCTGGTGCTGCAGCTTCCTGACAAGGATGGTGTCTGTTACAGCAGCAAGCAGGAGCCTATCCTGTCAGACAGGAATCTCACTGAGCTGGAGTACATGCTCTCACGAGAAAATTTTCATGGTTTTGCTCTCAGTAATAATGTTAATACATCTAAATGCTACAACATGCAATTTTAAATCTTTTTTTTTAAATATAAAGTTTAATGGGGCCAGCAAGTGACATGGTGGTTGGGGCATTGGATTCCCACATGGCCTACCATGGTTCAAGTCCTAGACCTGGCAGTTTGCTTTCTCACTTTCCCTCTCTCTCTGGTGAAATAAATAAATAAATAATAATAATAAATAATTCTTTAAAAAATACATAAAGTTTACTATTATATGTATCTCCTAAATCAACTGACTATAAGGTTAATTTTTATTTCATCAGGTAATCACACAATAATTAGTGATAGAACTCTAAAGAGATTTTTATTTAAGTGACTTGATCTTTAATTTTACCTCCTGCTTGGGCATTCTGCACAGTAAAGGTAAATGCTTTCTGTAGATTTCACTGGAACAATACAGAATTCATTATGAAGTCTGTGCACAATATAGATGAATTTAACATAAGAGTGTTAAGAACCAAATATTGTCAAACAGTTTCTTAATGCAGGGATCCCTAACCCCATGCCATGGACTAATACTGGTGTGTTAGAAACTGGGCCACAAAGCAGGAGGTGAGGGTCGGTGGGCAAGCAAGCAAGCCTCTGTATTTACAGCCATTCCCCATTGCTTGCATTACCACCTCCTTCACGTCAGTGCCATTAGATTTTCATAGGAGCACAAACCCTACTGTGAACTGCACAGCGAGGGATTTAGGCTGTGGACTGTCATAAACCATCCCCCCCCACCCCAATCCATGGAAAACTGTCTTCCATGAAACTGATCCCTGGGGCCAGAAAGGTTGGGGACTGCTATCTTAAAGCACTCTGCTATTTTCAGTTGAGTTTATGTTCTTTCCAGAAAAGACCCATCTGTTATCAGGATTAAATATTGTTTCGCCAATAGCTGTTATACTCACTAACGGTTATTTTAGCATATAAAAATTCATTTTCAAGTGTAGGCTGAATTTCCCTCCAAGCAGATAAAGTTTTAAAATAAATATTATAAACTTTTCTCTCTGGGAAAACGGGAGAGAAATTCTTTATATGTCTTCTATACTTTTTTTTTTTTTTTGAAGAGGTTTTTGCTATAGGGCGCGTGCGCTCGCCAGACAGACAGAGAGATAGAAAGCGAGAAATCACTCCCCAGGGGGGATGGCCACGCCGCAATCCCTTCTCCTCCATTCTCCTCTCGGGATCTTGGGCACGCACACACACATGCCGGGCGTAAGTTTCAGCCACCGAGTCTGGGACTCGAACCGCAGTCAACTATGTGGGAGTCCAGCGACATAGCCATTATGCTAACTGCTGGTCCCTTGTCTTCTATACGGTTTGATGTTTGCTTTTCTCTATGTGTCTGTAATTGGTGGAAAAATGATTATTCTTTTACATATAGACTAATACGGTACTAAGACAAATAATCCAGACATTTAAAAAAGATATTAAAACTCAGGTTTTATTATTTGTTCAGTTACAATAACTTAAAGCTTAAACGTGTATTTCTTCTCAGAGCAAAGATGTCCCTCTGTTCACAGCCCTATATAAATCTGCTGTCTGAGATAGCTCCTGGTATGGAAGGACAGGGAAGAGGATGAAGGATGGAAGCAGTCGCTTAGGACAGTCTACCTGTTGAGAACCCAGAGAGGAGATGGGAGGGCAGTGGGAGAGAGGTGGTCCTCTCAGGAGTCCCAGGGTAAATGATGGCATGCGTTTTCTGCACTAGGGCTGTACCTACACCTGCCAGTCCTCCGAGTGGTCACTCAGGCCACCTTGCCTCGCTCACACCCTAATTCCCACTCACGTTCCTGTCCTCATGGGCCACTCCCATGACTGACTTCCATGATGACCAACTTGAATCAGGCCCCTTGTTCTGACACCAGCCTTAGATCATTAAGACAAGGACATAGATACTTCTACCTTCCAAACCAAAGCTGGCAGGAAAACTCAAATAAAAGACATCGGGGAGTCACAGAGCATGACCCTGAGAGCTTTAGTAATCACATTTAGTGATCAGATATTTTCTGATCACAGTTCCATGTAAATGTAAAATGTGCAAGGAGGAAGACGGTGTCTGCGGCGGTCCCATTAGGAAGCCAGTTGCTGCTTAATGAGATTGACTTTACTCCCTCGGCCTAAGGATCACCTAAAGGCTCCAGCTGCAGCCTGTGTCGCTGGTCAGTTTCTGCAGGACCACAGTCCACACCTGAAACTTTGCCAAGTCACTCCCCAAGAGGATCAGGCCCTAACCTAGTGATGAGTCAGCACAAAGTCCTCAATGCTGCAGGGAACCCATGCTCACTGGAAGTAGTACCTATATATATATATTTCTGCACATTAGACAAAAGCCACTAGCAAATTGGAAACCACACCGATGGCTAAATTTGGAGTCACACTTACTTCGATTCGAAAGCATTCAGTGTGCTCCAAAGCCTGGGCCTCCTCCACCTTCTGCTACAGCGTCCCTCGCACTTAGCGAACTGCATCAGGGAAACCCCCACCACTTGTGAACCACTTTATCCTCACGGCCAGTCTCTAGGAACCTGTTGCTGCATTCTTCCCAGCGGATAACCTTGCCATTCTCCACCAGCACGAACTTCCACTCCATCACTGCATCTGCTGGCAGGAGAACGGAGCGGGACCAGAACCCATCCTTGCCGTGCTGGAGTGGGATGCACGTCTTCCATCTCCCAAGACTCTCGTGGTTTCCAGTCACCGCAACGAGCTGCCCGTCAGCGCTCGGGACATAATGGACCTGGAACCTGACTCTAACTCTCTGAGATCCTGAAGACATTGCTTTCCCATGCCCCTCCCAACCTCTCGCTTCCACAAGAGTGTGTCTGCCATGGTCCATTTCCTGGCTTAGGCTTAACACGGAAGCCTCAAGGCTGCCGCCCAAGCTGACATCTCCCCAAGATGAGTGCCGGGACACCATTTCCCAGCCGTCCTGCTCGGCCCGGTCTGGGCTGCCCGGTTGGGCCAGGCTCGCTTCTCCTTTATCTCTGTTCATGAGCAGGTTGCTAGAAGGTAACTTCTCCACCAAACACGCAGCTGCTTTAGAAAGCATTTCTCGTCCTTTCTGGAATCCCCATCCTCCCAGCCTTTCATTTTTGGGAACTTCAGAGCTATCCCGAGTGTGGCCGGCCTCAGAGGCGGCGAGAGCTTCAGAAGGAGCGTGCTCTCTTGTACTGTCACAGTCTTCCCCAGGACTCTGCAGTCTCCACGCCGCCTCCTGCAAGTTCCCACGGCCTTTGGTCTCAGAAATCAGATGTCCATTGTGTCCTTGAAGGTGCTCTGGGAAACAGGAGGGAAATGTAGTCACGTTAGGCAGTTCACTCATGAAAAGTAACACTGAGAAGCCAGGGTTAGTTACTGACGCTTTCACTGATCTGAATTCACAAAGTCCCCATTCATTGAAAGCAAGTACTTAATTATCTCGTATGTCCCGAAGACTGCGCTCTAAGAATGCACGTATATCTGACAGCGAAAGGCACATCTAGGCCAGCCCATGGCATAGGTTACGGCAGCTGGGCCCATACGGCTGACTGCATGGTTAGAGTCCTGAACCTGGCAGCTTAAGAAAAATGCAGGGCAGGTGTGCATAGGTGCCCAAAATCCCAGAAGGAAGGAGAGATGGAGGGGAAGTGATTGCAGTATGACCATGGCCCATGGGGAGGCTTTTTCACTTTCCTTGTTTTTCTCTCTTCCTGGTGAGCACACACTCCCTCTGGAGGAAAAAGAAAAAAGAAAAAGAAGAAGGCAAATCCAGGCGAGCCAGTGTACAGTGTGAGTGTTAATGATGTGGCAAGCCATGGAGACAGAATGTAACCCTGTCATGTCATCAGTCCAGGCCATACTGGCATGCAACCACGTCAAGATGCTTGGATCCTATCATTAAAAAGTGTCATGCGGCCTGTGGGGCACAGGGCTGCATGCCACCCCACAAACCAGGAGAGTGCAATTGTACTCCCAGGGTGTGTGTGCTGGCAGGGGTCAGCTCAGCAGGGGCTGCCACTGGGGAAATACAAAGGACAGTGATGGCCACAGGTCAGGAGTTCTCGGAGGTGAGTGTGTGTGTGTATGTGTGCATGTGGGGGGAGGGGTGGCTCTGGTTTCTCTTTTCCGGTCCCATACACAGGAATTTTCCAGAGGCCCTGTGGCCCATGGGTTAAGGGAGTCAGATGCCACACGGCCGACCACCTAGGAGGCTTGAAAGACCCACCAGGCAGAAGTGCATCCATGCTGGAAATCCTGGCAAGACAGAGAAATGGCGGGAAGGGAAGGGACCGTACTCACTGTGGGGTGCTCCTTCCCCCCCACCCCCGTCTCTCTCTGGCAAGCACATACACCCCTCAACAAAACAAAGCATTTTTTCAAAAAAAAAAATAGAAAGGTTTTTTGCATCTTTTACCATTGCACTTAAAAGAAAGTACATAATCCAAATCCTCTAAACTCAGTGTCCTGCTGGGCCACCTCGTCTCGGTAGTCTGAGTAACTCCCTACAAGACTGCAATCTCCAAAATCATGCAGACAGGGGGGTTTTGGGGAGAAGAGGGGGAGGGCAGTCTGGTTTGCTTTAGTTTCTTTCTAATAATGGAGTTGGACGTGAGACATGAACAGACACTACTTTGAATTCCCAATTTTTAGGCCAAAAGCGTAAGGCTGGTCTTCAGAAACAAGGTGAATGAACTTCCTCCCAAGTCAACGGCAGGCAAGGCACACAGGCAGATTTCCATGTGGCTACCCAGAACACCACGCCACTAAAAATAAAGTTCACGGATGTCATTTTCACCACCAGGCCACAGTCCAGGCGCAGGGACTTGCCAAAGGAGGGCCCTGGAAGGTAAGGTTTTCTGCCGGTGCCCGCTCTCGGCCTTGCACGTCTCTAAAATGTAGAGATTTAAACCTAATGCCAAGTCGAAGCCTCAGAGTTGGGTCCCTGGTAAGCCGTTTTTCCCCGGGGATTACACCGCCCAGGGCTGCCCCGAGGGAGGCCCAATGGCTCTGAACTGGGCAGCGGGCACACAGCCCCAGGGTGTCAGCAGAGGCCTGCGTGGTCAGAGCCCAGCGTGGCCAGAGCCCAGCCTGAACTTTGCCTTCCTGATGGAAGCGTCCAGAGAGCAGGCAGTGCCCGCAGCTTGGTTGTTCCCACACCCGGCTCGTCCGTGGGGCGTGGGATGAGAGGACTCGCGACTACGGGACTGTAATAGAGATGGAAGATCAGAGATGGAAGAGGGTTGTGGGAGCGCCCCTGAACCTAGGTCCTTTCGGAAGGTCCGGGAGGGGCGCCGCTGCAGCCGCGCGCACTGCACCAAGGGCCTCCAAGCCAGGAAGCCCATTCCGGCGCAGGGGCAGGCGCCAGCGCCGACAAGCAGGGTGCGGCCCTCCGAGGACCCGCAGACCCTCCTTGGAGGGCAAGAAACCTGTCCTGCGCGTACACACCAGCCTGGGAAAACGACGGGCGTGAGAGGGCCCTGCGGGAAGTTCCCTGGTGGGGAAGCTCGTCCGCGGGGAGCAAAGGTCCAGGTGGGTCTCTGGCATCCCGTCCTCGGTGAACTTCAGAGCCCCTGGCGCTCTGCCCTCCAGACACCAGAGGGAGAATACCTGGTTTGGTGATCGGCTCCCGCTTAGATCCAGGGCTCAGTCCGCCGCCGCCCAGATCGCCTCCCGGAGCCGCAGCCTCCCCAAGAGGACCGTCCAGATCCTGCTTGGTGTCCCCGTCCTTCCCTGGGTCCCCATGGTCGCCCCGCAGCAGCCAAACGACAAGCGCTCCTGCCAGACCCCCTCCGACCAG